GTAGCTTTCCGATTAAAGGGAGGCRCATCTGTTTGGTGGGAACGGATGAGAGAGACCCGGATGAGAGAAAGAAGGGGTCCTGTTCGGACCTGGAGGTGCATGAAACAATTAATAAGAGGTAGATTTTTACCTCCTAACTATGAACAAGATATGTTTGAATCTTATCAGAGGTGTGTGCAGGATTCTCGTAGTGTTAACGAATATACATCTGAATTTTTGAGATTAGCTGAAAGAAACCAATTATCTGAAAGTGATAACCAGTAGGCAACCCGTTATCTAAGCGGTTTGAGACCGTTCATCAGAGACAAAATTGGTGTACAAATGGTTCTTAGTGTACAGGAAGCAAGGAACTTAGCCTTGAAAGCAGAATTAATGTTCTAGGACAAGGCACGCAGTGATAATTATCGCCGGTACAGCGGGAGCGACAACAGACCGGCAACTGTCCACACGAATAAATCAATCCCGGCAGTACAATCTTCTCACCCGGCAAGTACAAGTAACGCCGGTAAGGCTACTACAGAAGGACATACTCGAGGTAATCCTTTCAATCCTCCTAAACCCAGTAACCCTTATGCAAGGCCTACTCCTATTAAATGTTTTAAATGTAATGAGGTTGGACATAGATCCAGTGACTGTCCCAGGAGGAAGCAGTTAATATGGTAGAAAGGGAGGAGGTTATGGTCTTTTTAAGGAAAGAAAGGATTCCCATAGGTACTTACAACAAGTTGAAGCCTCAGAAGTATGGTCTATACAAGATCGTGAAGAAGATTAATTACAATGCCTATGTAGTGGATTTGCCAGATCAGATGGGTATATCCAAGACCTTCAACGTTGCTGACCTTCACTGGTATTTGCCAGAGATCACACTTGCATATCCTAATCACGACTCGAGGTCGAGTTCTCTCCAAGTGGAAGAGAATGATGGAGGCCCATCACAAGAAAGCCCATCACACCCCTAGGGGCAACAACTCTAGGATAAGGATAAGGCAAGAAGTCAAGATAGAGAAGGAGCCAAGATTATCAAGATTAGTCCAAGAGAGATAAGCAAGAACAACTCAAGACTCCCAAGACTATCAAGATTAGCAAGATAAGGCAAGACTCTTCCAA